GCTCAAATGCGCGAGAAACGAAAGTGGGAGTTTCGCTCAAGATGGCGCGGTCGTCAACATGTTGAACCTCTCTCATGGAACGCTTCAGCGCCGGTCTAAAAAGCTTGTATTATTATAATTATTATTATTTAATAATATTATTATTTGTCCCTACTGAGCTGTAAATCGCCCATGTGATCTGTACAAGAATAATTTATTTACCTGTTTACATGAATGATGAATAATTAGAAATACCCATTAGTTCTCTATTTCGACAACATGCCTGCTTTCATTTCGGAGGGCTTTCGTCCCAAATAATTCTATGCACTTGATTTTTGCTCGTACACCACGGCAGCAGGCTTGAATGAATTCATTTTGAGTGTGAAGTGACCACAGATATATGACCCTAAAAAGGGAACTATAACCAGCTTCAAACATGGTTTTCAAAGATCGCACCTGACTATTCGCTTTGCTGAAGAAAAATCTGCTTGTTGAGCTGCACTAAGTGCTATGTAGAGGTGGCATCGGGCGAGTAAAGTGCGATCTTCTAGTTCTGCAGCAATCTTCATTTGTTTTTGCGAGATCATATCTGCTCGCTTAGCCTAAACTATCACATACAATGAGTAAACGATACTGCATTATATGTTCTGATAACTTACAAATGTCATGTCATAATCAGCCATAGCAGAACAGGCACCTCCCAAAGTGGACAAATTCCACATCAATCGCTCTAATTCGAGATACTTCATAGACAAGTATAACATCCGAGATTCCCTAAATATTGCCCGTCATGAACTGCTGTTGTCGTAAACAAACAAAGCCATGCAAGTGACATCTAGAACCACTGCTACAAGTAACTCACCATTTATAGTCAATATTCTCCCTGGGGGTTTGTGAAAGAAATAGCCTTAGTGTGAAATCCTAAAATCAATTAAAAAATCATCATAAAAAAAAGAGATATTGAGTCCAGATCGCCTAGTTTAGGCATTGTGTAGCTTGCTCAACCAACTACTTACCTCTCCGTTACCTAGTGAATAATGTCTCCTGATTCGTTTCTCAAAAGCTTCTTTGCTGCACTTTGCTAGTTTGATAATTGATCGCGCGTCTTCTGGATTACACCTCCATTTCAGCACCTTTTTTCTAGAGTCCGAAGAGGAACAAGTAGGAATATCTATGTAGAGTCGGGTGCCGTAAAAATTCATAGGACTGAAAATAGCGAGTTAGTACATGTGCGATCTGCACTCTTGCGCATAGAACATTTTAAATAGCAATATTCGTTCGAACGAGAGCATGCGGTAACAGGCGACCCTAGAT